GAGCCGTACCGCACGTCTCAAGAGCCGTCAAGCGTGGGGACAGGCAGGCGTTACCTGCAGGTGTCTGCCGTTGATGTGCAGGCTGTGGCACATGTCGGTGAACTGGGGGGCCCCCGCGGGGTCCAGGACAACGTAGACGGGCACGCCGCGCTTGGCCGAGGCGTCCAGCAAGTCCTGGAAGATCTGGACGTCGGTGAGGGAGTCCATGACGACCGCCAGCACCTGCAACACACGCGGACGCACGGAGCTGGTGGGACGTTCCCCCGAAACACCCAGCCGCCCCCCCTCCCCGTCCCGCCAGGTGCACCGGCAGCCGAGACCCCTTCAACCTCCCGAGAAGAACAGGGCCGGTGTACCTGGGAGGCGTGAATCGCACCACACTCGGGTCGCAAGGCGAGACGGAACCCCAGACGCACACTTCCTGGAAGCGTGCAAAAGCTCAAGCAGCCGCGTGGCGAGATTCACTAGAAACAGGCGTGCAAACGCCGAACTCACGCCCGCGGCGAGAGACGCACCCAGACGACCAATCCATCCCGCCAGGCGGCGCGAACTTTTTTTTTTCTGCACCCCGAGACGTTCGTTGCGCGCGGACCTCCCAGGGCGGGGTGAGGGACAGAGACGCGAGGAGCAGGCTCCCCGGGCGCGGAGCAGGTAGCCAAACGGACCGCGGCGCTCCGGGATTTCCTGCTTTCCTGCTTCCGGGGGAGCTACCAGCTAAATTCTGGAAAGGGCGCGTTGGGGGGGGAACAGAGCGGGAAGGAGAATATCTCGGAGAGCGAGCTGGCCAGACTTCGGCCTCTCCCAGTTCAACACTGACTGTATATCTAGCTGTCCGGGGGACAGCTGGGAGAAGGTATATTGTAGGCGTTACTTGTAGAGAAGGACCACGCCATACTTTGGGTCTTTGGATGCTCTTGACCACACCCGCTCAACCTAGGCGGCTGGAACTGCTGATCCAAGAGAAATTAAACTGCTCAGCGCCAGGCTCGTTGTCGATGTTGCGGACACTTTCCCTAATTGTAGGGCTCTCCATCTCCTCTGCTCTTCCCCGCTCGGCCTTTGTCCCTCGTTGGCCAGAAACACACTACCTTTGCGATCCTGTGCCGATCACGTAGCCCACCGGTTAATCCTGACGGGTCTGTATTTCGTGGCGTAAAAATAGTCTTTTGGCTTTCGGGCCGAGGAGAGAGGAACAAGCAATGTTAATGACGAAGATCACCTGACCGCGAGCCAGTAAGACCTGACTGGTGAATGGGGCGGATCAGCTATAATTCACACGTTCCCTACGGCCCGCTCATGTGAAGTTCACCTTGAGCGGCTGTGCTCAGGGTTTTAAAGACTTTGATCAGCATAAGTCAAAGACTGTTCAATGACAAGCTTGGTGGCTCCATCCCAACCTAAGCCGTGTCAACAACGGTCGGATTTTCAATCAATAAAAAAGGAGGCTTGGAGTAAACTGCTCTTGCAACAACACAAGTACACCTTGCACCGTGGGTGACTCAGC